GCTACCCTCGTATGGCAACTGTCTAATGTTGCTTACTTCAAAAAGGACATTAAAATGAAAGCTTTTCAATGAAAGCTTTTTCACCTACTCTTTACAACTGTGAAAAGTTTGTGCTGGGATGTGTCTGTAATAAGTTATGATTTTCGTGAAAAGTGACAAACTAATTAATTTTGGCATTTTCTGTAGTAAAGTTAAACTTCGTAACATTTTACAGAGACGTCCAAACAGCACCATTTCACTGTGGCAAAGGGTAAGTCAAAAAACCTGTGCGATTAGGTTTTCAGATTTTTCCGTAGCGTTTCGGAATTTTGGCGACCTAACTTAAAATGAGCAAAGTTTATACGGTCTTCATTTCCCAGTTTTATCTCTGCAGTCAGTTTGTATTAGAAGCTATCAGGTAAAGTTTTCGAAAGCGAAAGATTTACGCTTCCAAATAAAATTAAACGGATGCAAATCCGTTGAGACAGCGCAAATTTTCAAACATGAAACGACACTTTCGGGACAACCTAATATAAACAAATAGCACACCTATATAAAGTGGACGCATCCGAAGTTAGAGAAATCACACCGCAAAAGACTTTGGGCGAAATATGATTCAACTGCAGGAGGGATGGAGCACCAGTAGGATAAGTCTACGTCAACAAGATAACAACAACAGTGGACACAAGTATGATATATGAGATGGAATTGCATACTGGCGGCAACAGGCAGAAAAAGCGTGGTGATGAGAATGAGAAGCTTAGGCGGATGTACGCAAAGAAATAAGAATCTGAATATTTTGCGCCTATGAACAAAAGCAGCTGGCGGCGGCTACGGGCTGCTGACGGCTGCTACGAACTGCTACGTGCTGTTAGCGGCGGCTGCCGGCGCGGTATAAAGGCACACTCAAAGGCACTTTCCGGAAGTTCAAGACGCGAAGTCGTTGTGGGACTCTGCGTCTCAAAGTGGCGGCATGCCTACTTTGCTGCAGAGCAGAGAATCTACGAGCGAGACTTTCCCGTTAGGTGTAGTTCTCCCAGCTTCTCAAGCAAGCATCTAACTTCTGGTTATGATCTTGCACCTGTGCAGGACGTGCGCGAGGGGGGCATCCAGTCTCCCATAAAGCTAAATTCCACATGTGACCATCTTGCTAGGATTTAAACTGGTTTCGTCTTGATTCCAAGCAGTTACCCTAAATCAAAGAGACTATAAGTATAAACTCGTTAAGCGCACGACCAATGTTGTTTCGAGTTGCAAGGCTGCTATAAGCCTCTTTTCAGAATGAATTATAAATGCACAAAAATGCATGTATCTATAAATGTGCCGCCATGGAATATCTTATATTCAGTTTCTTCTGTTAAGTCGAGTTCAAAAATGACAATGACCAATTTTTGCGATTTTGGCTGCCTTTCTTAAGCGGTTTGCGCAGTCCTGTAGAACAAATGAGAGCGGTATATTTAAAAAGAGAGAAGTTATGGGGAAAGTTGCAAAACTTATGTGCCAACCTAGGCGGACCAATGAGGCTTACGAGAATAACCGTTTTGAAAGTTATATGAGTTATGGATATGTGCAAGTAACTTGTTTATACTTGTAAGTAATCAAAGTAATTCTTGTAATGAAATAAATCAGCCCTGTAAAAAGATGTTTCTCGTGACTGGTGCCGATCTACATATTACTTCAGAGTCAATGTTGCTATAAATCTTACCTCAAATTTTGAAAGGGCGATCTTACTTCGATGTTAGCTCTCTTGCAATACATTGCTATCTAAGGACGATAGAGAAATACGCTGTTTCGTTTTTGCGTTGAACCAGCATTCCAACTAAGCATCGATTACCATAGCAAAACGCTCTGACTCCAACTTTGCAATGCTACCAGAACCCTC